ATTCACAGTCTCAGCTGATGAAGATCCCTTTCCATACTCATAGTGAAACTTAATTTTACATGAAGGAGGGGTCTCTCTGTCATCTGTTCAAAGAAAAGATTTAGAAAAGGAGTCAGAGCAAAGTCTTGCATTCCACTTCTCCAAACCTGCCAGGCTGGTTCTGTGTCATTAAAATGCCTCTCCTCTCCTTTCCTCTCCTTCCCTCTCCTCTCCTTTCCTCTCCTCTCAACACTTCTCGTCTGAAGTGCCACTTTTTCTGCCCCAAGCGACATGTTGGCTCATGTCCACCTGCCTTGCCTTCTCTCTTTTACCCTCACTCTTCCCTCCCTCTCTCTCTTTCATTGTTATCTCCCTCCTGCACACCACATTTTCCCCCCTGTGAGTCAGGAAGACAAATTTCTCCAGAAGTTTTCTCTCTGTGCTTCTCGGACTGCCTTGTGTTTCCCTCTTTGCCCACCCTCCTTTCCTCCTTTTCTACATATAGATGTGATCATGATAAACTTCTTCTGACAGCACAGATCTAGACAGTTGGAAGACAAAGAAGATTGAATCGTTGTCTCCTTTCACTCGTTTCAACCTTTCTTTTTTATTTCTTTAACTCACCTTCTTCTCCTCCATGTCTGCTCTCTCTCCACCCAAGCATGTAAGGCGGTATTCTCCAGAGTGTCATGTCTGCTCAAATCTCAGATGATGAAGCAAAGTAAACGTCAAACCTGCCCAGACTCCTTACCACTTGTCTGTGTATCCCTCTGCCAACAACAACAACCACAACAAAAAGAGCCATGACCTGACTCAAATATGTCTAAGCAACTTCAGCTTCTGAGCACTTCCAAATGTCACCTTTACAACAGGACACAACAAGTATGACAAGAACAGGCCTGTGAGCTATGAAATGTTTAAAGACAGTAGGTAAATACCTTCATCATCTGACATATTGATTTACACATTTTGTCACTTTGTCTCTGTGAATCGTCATGAGGTTTTTATTTGATTCAATATGAGCGGTTAAGTGTAAAGACCAAAGACTGCTCTGGAAGTAGTGATTTATGAAGGCTGTGATTTATTAAGTGTTTGATACTGTGTATGGAAAAGTCTTCCATCAATAGTATGCACATAAATGTTATGAGTACAATTGAAGTTTCTTTCTACATTGTCAGATTACTTACAAAAATTGCTCTCAGGATCCAGATGTTACAAAAAGCAAAGTTAACTGCAAATAAGTTTGTGAAATATTGATGCGAATGAAGCAAAAAAATGTTTATTTCTTAAGTGCAGTTAATATATTTGACGCAACTTTAAACTTGTATAGTTAGTTAAAAAAATGATACTTCTGGAGCAAACTGTCAACAAGTTTCTAAGAAGTGATAAAAGCCTTCTGATCCAAACAACGAACATGTTAACAATGCTCAGCACTTTTACAGCTGTATCAACACATAACAGTCATCAATTTAAGCTAAACGTTGACGTCCGAAATAATCGCACGGAAAAACGCTCCCGGTATGTAAGGACCTTAAATATGGGCTGTATCTATACTACACTGTATATTGCTCAATGGCTATCATAGTTATTTTGGTTACGTACTTGGAGATCAGTTATGCAACTTAGAGTTGCTTTTTGAAATAAATAGTTATTGAATTATAGGTTTTATGTGCAACGTCTAAACTCCATCTAAAAATATACAGAAACTAGACAGTTGAAATTTGATTTAAATAAAAAACTAGATGTCTAATAGCCGTCTATTGCTCAGTGGGTAATTTGACATTTGGTAACTAATACTTATGAGTAAAAGAGTTCAAGTATTAAAAACTTTCTTAGATTTCAGTGCACTTGTAAAAACTGGCAGCTGGCAGCGGTGAAAACATGAATGAATGGAAGGCTTTAGGGAAATAATTCCAGACCTGCTGACCCAGAGCACATACGAACCACCGCACAGAGCTCACTCTCCCTCCCGGCCTAATCTCCCATTCCGCTTCCCCACCCCCTTCAACCAGAGTCTGCCTTTGATCAACACACATTGTCAAGGCACACTAGGTGACCTGTGTGTGAGGGAGAGGGACAGAAGTGTGGTGGGGGTAGGAGGACTGAACCCTAAGTGTCGGATATTGTTGTGCTACTTCCTGCCCTCTAAGCCTTGACCTGGGGAACAACAGTGAAAAAAGCCTTTTGTTTGGCTGACCCTCACTCTCTCCTCCACTCCTCTCACTCTTCTTTCCCTCCTCTCTTTCTGCTTGACCTTCTCTCCTCGAATCTTAAACATACACTAATGCCAAACCCTTGGAATTGATCACCACAGAGACCACTAGAGCACATGCTCACACAATCAAACACACACACACATTCCTGTTATGTTGCTATAGCAGCAGAGTTCCTGATAGCAGGCTTTGAACCTGAATGAAAGCAGGTCATGCTCACCTTTTCGGACTTAGCTGACAGATCTAATTTAACAAAGGGACAGTTCCTTCAAAGGTCAATATATTGTCAGAGTCTGGAAAAGTCACAGCACTGAATTGGTAAGGAAAAATACTGAATAAGCAGTTGATTATCAGCACTCAGAGAGAACCACGAGGATTTTCAGTGGTGATAAGAGATGGTAATATAGATTAATATGGATTGATCTATCTTTTGTTGAGTTTTCTACTCTTGCTCACACTTTGATATCATGATAACTACTAGATTCTTTTATTTTGGTCAGAACCTCATGGTGAATAGTATTACTTTGGCATTCACCTGTGATATTGTATCTCTGCTGCCTCAAAGGGACACAAACAAAGCTGTAAATATTGCATGCGTTATTATTCCCAACTGAGGAGAATGCTGTAAAAGATGCTACAAATAACAAAGGAGACATAAGCGTTTATCCCAAGAGTGCATCTCTGGTTTCCAGCCCACAAATTAACAGCATAGACCCCTATACACATGCTTCTACATGTGACTCAGCTATGAAAGCGAATGTAGGCACATAACTTACTGTGTAACCAAGTTAAATTCTGCACTCTGAACCACAAGTCTGACAACTGAGTAGACAACTCTTACATGTGAAAATAAATTTCATGTACACATATGCAAGCACTGAAAGCAGTTGGTATTCTAGGATTCCACTCTACTTAAATAAGCATGCTTGTCATAGCTCTTCTGTCTATTTTTGGCCACATACTGTTGTCAGAGAGACAAATTTACAGGTAGCTTGACTGGTTAGTTCACTAAGAGAATATTTTTCTGCATATTTTTCTTTTTTTTTAAATGAGAGGATAACATGAATGTGTGTCTATGTGTGTAAAAATATAAATGAATAAGAAAATGAGAGAAAAAAACGCTGGTGTGTATGCTGCAGAGATGCATGGAGGTGTTAAGAAAATCCTGGTGCTGCTTCATACTGCAGTAGAATAAGGAAACTCATAAAACTCTACTATAGAGTATTACCTCTGGTACTAAAATCACTTTCACTTAGAAATCATTGAAAAAATGTTAACATTATGCTCAACATTAACATTATACAGCAATACTCTTGTTTTTTATGACACCCACGGGTTTCTCTGCCACACCGATTACCTCAATAAAATGTACTTTTGTGTTTCCAGGCAATGGGACTGTTTTTATGTAAAATAGACATGTCAAGGCTCAAGGCCTGTCACCATTGTAAACTGATCTGCCTCCAGTAGTTGTGTTGTGTACAAGCATATGAACAGATAAGATACAGAGGGTGAGGGCAGTGACATGGTACCTTTACCCCACCTACAAAGACCCGCCTGATGCCCTCTCGTGTTATTAAGGTTTGTAGGATTACTTTATAGTCTAGCTTATTTGTATCTTAGCTTGGCAGTCATGGTTTTAAAACACACCTTGGTTTATATTTCTGTTTATACAATCATCTACCCTGACACTCTCACCTCTGATCTTCATTGAACCACACGGACTAATAAAATTTTGGCTTGACTTCTGACAGTCTTGATGATATCTATGGACACGGAATCATTTGATAATATACTTTTTGTTATTTGACCCTAAACGATCACTACATTTCTACATGTTCTTTCTGGTTATTGTGTGTCATAACAGCACTCTTTTCCGGATGAATGAATGGATCATCAAAGTACTTGTTATTTCATGTGTTAAGATCACTCACTGACGTTTTTCAGACAACAAGCAGGCTGAAGTTGGCAGGCAGGTATCTTTTTCATGGGGCGTCCTCTGCGACAAGTCAAAACCTGAACAAAAGGACTTCGTTATGCATGTCAGCCGAAAAGGAATGCTAGAGAGCTGTTGGTATGCAACCAGGCAATTACTCTCATATACGTCAGCTCTGTCCCAAGAATCAAGCCTGTAATTTCCCAATTACTAACCCTCATTGGAGCTGCTTTGACGGCATCAGTGTTTGCCTACAAGATGGTGGAACGTGTTTCTGTTAATCTCTGAGATTTTCAACAGCTGCCTGGCTGTGTGTGGAAAAATGTAAGTGTGCAGAATTAAGTGGGTGGCTCTTGGTTGCTGCAGGGTTTGAATGTTCATTATCCTGGAGCATTTTCAAGAGGCTTCCCTTGTTGACCTTAGTCATTAGAGTTCATTGAGTTCATAGTGGCAGACTTTAAAAGGTGACTAATCTTATATAATGTAGTTGTTGTTTCATGTTTCATAGTTGCCTGCAGAGGGATCATGATAAAATCAAATGTTTTTTCACTTCATTGTACAATAAAAAGAAAAAAGACATAGTTTCACTGCTATTTTTTCAGACACCCTCCTTTCAGTTTTAGTGGGTTTAATACAGGGGTTGAAAATAGTTGAAGAAAACTGTCACTAATGTCGGAGAAAATAGCGCACAGTCTGTGTCAAGGCAGGCTTATCTTTAAAGCCACTCATCTGGTTTCACACTGGCAGTGCTATTTGAAAAAGGGACTAAATGAAAAGTTGACTCTTGCTACACATAGCATGTTACATAAGATACAATGATATCTGTATTTTTGTTTAAAAAAAAATCCACGTGACTTTTTTTTCTTTGTACCAGCTTGGTTGGCTGATCATGCTTGCAAACAAGGAAGCTCACATTGAAAAGCAGTGCAGTATGGCAGATTCCTTAAGATATAACAAGGAGAGAGAGGCTAACTTAACGCAAAGTCAGTAAATATTACACTTCCACATGTAAATATGACTGATCAGATGCACAGATCAGGCTTACTGACAACCTAAAAAAACCAACAACAGATAAATACCAGGAAATTATGAGAAACTGACTCATTTCCTACACATCTGCTTGTGGTAGAATCATAATTGTCTCAAAAAGTTTCGTTTTTAGTCCTCTGCAACATCTGTTTGTGTGTTTAAACATTTAAATGCCCCAAATACGGAACTTCTTTGAAAGTAATAGCATTATTTTAGCTTTATTTCAGACTTTCAACTTTTATTGTATACCTAGCATTTATAGGATACTGACATAATCAACAGCTCATAAGTACACAAACTCATGCACTATATTTTTAAAACTGTTAACGCTTTAGCTACTTAGTTTAGCTTTTTGTTTAATTGGTCAGAGACTCTCTGCACTAAACATTAGTCTCAGTTACTGAGAGGAAATGCACATCTCCAAATATAGCTTATTAGCTAGATGTTATCTGGAATATAGATCAGGCAACACATCTTCTTGCTTTTAGTTCTTTAAATAAAGTCCATACAAAAAAGTTGGTGTTAGGGCTGCTCCTACATTTGTATGGCCTTCTCATTGTACAGTAGTGGATCAATGACATTTATAAACAGCAAAGGCTCAACGATTTACTGTTGATTAAAGAGCCAACCGACAGACTAGGGCAAAACTCTACAACTCATAGTCCTCAAGAGCCCACTACTATAAAGAGTGTGTACATGCTGGGCTTAAAGGGATGTTGCGGCATAAAATAAGTTATGGTCAAACACACCATAACGCCGAGTTAGAAACCCCGTCGATAGATGAATATTGCCGACTGCTTGCTTGTCTAGATATACCAACTGTAGTAACGACCGCAGGATAGCGATACACAGCAGTCTCAGGAGCCATAAACAAACCTCAACCAAAACGCCACTCCATAGTGACAAATAATGCTCAGAACAGCACCTAACTTCATCAACAGTACATATAGGGTCCCAGCCACAGCACCAGCCAACAAACATCTTTTTAATTTTACCTAATTTCTTTAGCAAAGAGACTAAACACAACTCACCAACTCTCTTCCAGCAGCCACTTGTTTGTACGGAGACCTTCGGGCCAGTCCATTATGGACTGCTGCGGGGTGACGCAGCTCAAGAAAGAACATTAATGATCATTACTTCATGGAAATGAAATTAGACTGAGATGCTGAGGCAGAAGAACTACTGTCTCTGTAGTGCAAAATGATTATTATGGTGATTATTACTTCAATGAAATGATAAAGTAATGATCATAAAAAGCTTGGCTACTGTTATGTGCCTCCTGCTGTGCAATGTGCACTGAGCATCCAAAGCGCGGGTAGTTGTGGGGAAAATGTCGCAAAAAAGGACATATCCCTCAGGAGCAGAGAAAAGAAAGAGGAAGAAGAGAAAAAAAAAACGCCAAGATAAAGGTATGTTTGTATGTCATGGAGTATTAATCAGTGAGATTTGTGAAGGTGTGTGAATGATCAATAATCAATATTACTGGCAGAAATAGAGGGCCCCAAAATCAAATTTTGCTTAGGGCCCCATTGAGGCTTGGGCCAGCTCTGTTTCACAGATTTGAACACTTTCCACTAAATGTTCACATAAGACAGGCTAATTAAAGACTTGCTCTGGCTCTGCAGGTGTTTATCTGCAGTGACAGTCTGATGATGTGATGAGAACTGCACCCAGTTTCGCAGTTTCTTTTTAAACAGTCACCAAGGGTCCCCTCAGCACTAAGCAGCTTTTTACACCAGACGACACCCCCCCTTCCTCCTCCTACCCTCCTGCCCCCGCTCTCTTTGAAGCAAAGCCCCGCCCCTGACCAGGTTACAGGGCGGGGCCTATCTCTGCAAAGCCGGGAGGCAAGCAGAGTCTCTCTCACCACAGCTGTGCTCAGCTCTCGGTCGGTTACTGTTATACTGCGTTTTTCCACCCGGCAGTAGGATACAAAGAGAGAGGAGTAGTGACAGAGCATGAGCGCGCCGGGGACGAAACCTAACCGGACTACTATGGTCTTCTAACCCAGACACGGATACTCTTTTATTCAGACTGGACACGGAGCTCGACCGATGTATGCACTGGATTTTACCCACCAAAAAGTGTCGAGACCAGGGGGAGAGGGACCAACTTTACCGCTCAGGTAGGCAGGCGGGGGGATTCTGTCGTCTCAGTGTCTGAAAAGTGAGGAGAGAAAGGTATCGTCGTCTTACGGACTCCTGGCTCTCTGCGCTAAAACAAATCACCCTGCCGTCATTTCTGCTGCAGTGGGATTGTTTCACGAGAAAAAAAAACTCCGCGACTCTCTTACAGCGACAGACCCAGGAAAAAGAAGTGTGGAGGGGAGCCCCGTTTCTCTTTTGTCATTGCTCCGCCGCAGTGTCTGTGTAGGGCTACGTATCTAGAGAGTGTGTTTGTGTATTTGTGTGTGTCGGTCGTAGCCTACGTGCAAACTTGCTCGGGCAGCAGTGTGTAAACGGCACGTAGACGACGGGGCCGCATATCGGACTCCCGTGATCAAAATACACGGTCTCGAGAGAGAGAGAGGTTTTTGTTACAGTGATGATTTTATCGCTTCTGATGGAGTCGCTGCTGTAATTGCGGGTTTGACGTCGTGGAGAGAGAGAGAGAGGGACCAAAAATACAGCATACATGTCCAATCATTTCTCAATATCCCTTCGATTAATCTGAAACTGCTGACTTCCAGAGCTTACATTCTGTTGCAGCATTGGGTAATATTTTCCACCTTGCTGTAGAGAGAGTATGAACCCTTCTCGTCCCTTACTAAGAGCTACTAAAACAGGTTCCTCCTGCGATATTCCTCCAAGGATTTCTTTTAATTGTAGCCATATTGTTCCTGTTTTATCTGCAGGGTCATTATGAGATCAGCATGTAGGCCCAGACCGGTTTCGTTTTAGCGTATGGAGGGTAAGGGTTTCCTTTCCAGGAAAGGAAAGATGAGTTCGCATGTTCGTTTCCAACCTAAATGCGACCCCACGCAGCCGAGTCTGGGGTACAATTGGTCGTTTTTTAACCACGTTTCATTTTTACCTTACCTTATACCTTGCTTGGTATCTTATTTTTTCCAGAACATCCTCACCTGTGTGAATTTACAGTTATTTTATCATTTTGACATACTGTATTAACACACAAAACACAAAATCAGAGTGGAAAAAAGTAACATTTTTTTTACTGTAAAAACCACAAATATGTTTAACAAATCATTCTCATAACTTAGACCTGAAATAAATTGTTAACTTCAAAACATATATACAATATTAGCAGATAACACAGTAATTTACCATTAAATACAAAACAATGTATGGTCTCACAAATGTCACATTTTATTTATGCCATTGCAAAAAAACATGATGTAAAAATGATGTAGATCCTCCTTCTCTATGTCAGTCCACTTGCATTTTTGTTTGTGTTGCTGTAGATTGTTCTGACTACAAAAGAAAAAGGTCTTTTGGACTTTGGGGGGAAAGTGAAACTCTAGTTTTGTTCGGTTTATCAACACAATTTAAAAACCGGTATATTGTTTGAGGTCCAAGCTGACACAGAGACTCAGCCAGGCTTCGTCTAGTAGCTACAGCTTCTTAAATATGTCACGTGATTTTAGCGCTCAGGAGCGTCAATCGACTCCGGAGGGTTCGGTTCAAAGTCCGTGTGACTTCACCTTGGAAACTGAGGGATTATGATGTGTTAACTCTGATGACTACCTATTTCTTTTTCTGTTTCTCTTTCAGGACTCTCGGGGTTTAAGGGAGGGGGGAAATGGATAAAACTTTACAAATTCTCCAGAAATCAACAGACGGTGTGCCGCCTGGGATGTCCCTGGATGTGAGTTTAAATATGGATGAAGGGGAAGATTTCACGGAACAGCAGATAGTGGGGCTCCAGGACAAAATACCTCTGGTGAAACCGTATTTTAAGAAGAAGCAGAGGAAATTGGATGCCAAATGCCTCCATCGTGCCCTAGAGGATCCTATACTGACCACCTTGCTGAGCACGGACACGCTGGTCTCTGGGGATGGGGTGTTTGTTCCCCGGAACCAGTCGAATCGGACCCCCAGCAATCTGTGTACAGCAGCTGTGGTGAAACAGAATTGTATAGGCCAGGTGTGTCTAAAAGATCCAGGAGCTGCTGACGATGCCACAGCTGGGGCTGGGGTTCCGGGGTTGATGACCCGGGACGGTGACGTGGAAATTGCAGATACTACTGCGGAGCTGGAAGAGACTGAGCGACGAGGGGAACGACCCAAGATCACTGATCCGACCCCCGACAGCCGCTGCTTTCAGTCGAAACCTGGCCTCAGGGCGACTGGGAGCACAGTGACAATAACACCTCCCGTCAGGGACTTACCTCCCACAGCTGCACCCCAGGCCTCTCACCAGGAGGGGGGAAACAAAAGCATTGACCTTTTAACCTCTTTTGCTAAAAACCTTCCAGTAAAAGATAGCTCTGGCCTTCAGGATTCCCTTCCCCTCCTGCTTCAGCCCGACAAAGGAGTGTTATTTCAGGATAAAAGTGAAGAGGCTTCTCTGGACCTGGTTTTTGAGCTGTTGACCCAGCTCCAGTATCACACGCACCAGTCAGACTCAGTGGACATTTGTGTGGATTTTCTTCAAGGACAGTGTGTTTATGGCAGTGACTGTGCACACCACCACACTGTCCTGCCTTACCACTGGCAAATCCGCTGGAGCAGCAGTCAGAAGTGGCAGAGCATAGCAGATGACTCCCAGGAACAACTGGAGAGACTGTACTGCAACCCAGACAATGAGCAAGTTAGGCTCAAATATCAGTAAGTAATCCTCTTGTAGTGTTTACTTTTGTCTGCACAGTGTTTCATCTGTAACAGTATATGCTGAATGGCATTTTTCTATCAGGTAGAAAGCAGAAACACAAAATTTCTGCTGTGCATCTTTACCGGCCACAGTTTATTACCTTTTAGTTCCTGTAATTTATAATGTGGAACAGAAAGTGTGATGTTAAGTTGTGAGGGAACATCAGATAAGAATGGAAATTCTGACAAATTTTGATAACGTTGAAAAGTACACTGCACTCACATCAGTCCCTATTCCCAAAGTTTGGAGATACTCTAATAGTGTATTGTTGTCCCGTCATGAGTTTTGATGATTTAGCAAATATTTGACACTTGTGACAGGGTAACAACCATGTAGTAAGCTATAGGCTGCTTGTGAACAGGAAACATTACTGGTTAGATGTGTTGAAAAGTGTACCTAGGACCAAGCTTTCTCTTGTGGTCTCATTACTGGTGACAAACTCACCCCTTTGAGTCCACAGCTGCTTTCTCCATATGTGGTTGATTATTATTTTTTCCCGATCAGATCTTGACACAGTAAAAGCCCGGAATTGACGCATGTGTCATTGTGTGTTCCAGTCTATCTAGCTGTGTGTCTTGTAGTTAATATGTATCGTGACATCTTCTGTGCCTTCGTGTAGACATGTCATGTCATTTCCCAGCTCTGATATCAGTTATCTGTTTCCTGTATTTCCCTGCTCCCAAACTCACCCTACGATTGGTTGGAACTCCATCCACACCAGACTTTACAACACTTATGGCAGCAAGCGGTGAACTTCCATGACCCTCGGTTGCCTTGTGCGGTCACTGACACAGACGCACTTGGCAGCCTCTCTCCCTCCCTCAGTCATAGACATGCACACCACTGTGTACACACACACACACACGCAGCTTGGCACGCAGATGCTCACACGAACTGACTGTACAGAGGAGCTCAGTGGCTTGCACTGCTCACACGCACGCCTTTTAGCAGACAGAGATAAACCTCTCTTTCACTCTCTCACACACCCACATAGCTACGAAAACATGCAAGCACTCGGCAAGCCCCAGTGGGGGAAATAAAGGAGCATGCACCACTTCCTGTGAAAATGTACTGTCACACACTCGCACTCACGCACGAGTGTGTCTACATTGACTTTTTTTTTCATTTACCTGATTTCAAACGTCGCCTCATAATAGAATTTCTTAACCCATTGTATAACTTCAGATACTGTTAGGGATCATTGGCAACCAGCTGGTTTGAGTTTGTTCTGTTAGACACATGTCTTTGTGTGATCAATCTGCTACTTTTTATGAAAAGTAACTTCTAAAATTCCTTCTTTTGACTGTCAAAAGTCTTCAAGTTTTCTTTTTAACATATCCTCATAGCCCAATGTGACCGGTTAATTTAAACGACCAGCAGCTCAAAACATTAAAACCTTCCATACAAGACAAAGACAATCTCTGGAAGACTAACAGGGCAATGTTTCGGTAACAGACCCAGATTTTGCAAAGACTGAAGCTTTTGCAGTTACCTAATGAAATGCAAGAAAACAACTAGATTCCTGGCAGAAATGTAAACCAAGTTTCGAGCAGAAAACCATCAATAATATTGGTATAATCAACCATTGATTAGAGAAATGTAACACAATAAGATAATAACAATAGTTTTTGTTTTAAAAAAGACAAAGTATAAGAAAAGTTTTCTGTTAGAGTTTTAAATATTAAAGTTAAAAAATTTTGGTGCACCCCTTTAAAGTGTATTATGTAAAGTAACTGATCAACAAGAATATAAATTCACATTGTAAACATTAACTGACTCGTCAGTTTACTTACGCAAAGTAAATCCGTTTACTGTCAAAAACACAGTCATACTCTCTTGAAACACCCATTGGTTTCTGAAGAATTGATTTGAAGCCTATGGGCAGGGAATGCCGTGTCAGAAAAGATGACTCAAACTAATTTTAGGTCTTCCCACCATGAGACAGAGACGAGGCACGCCTTTAGCTTCCTCACTGACACCTACAATGTGCCTGACAGTGAATCAGGTCAGCCAAGCATACAGTTATGCAAAACTCAAACTTCAAACCTTAAAAAACGATTGAGATGAAACAAAATTCCCATACTGTACAATGTGTTTGGATGAAGAATTTAAATATTTAGACCCAAACTGTGTTGGAACCAGGCTGTATAATGTCTGGTTTACTTAAAAATTGGCCTCTTTTTGATTGGGTGTGTATGGGCTTCTCGTGCTTTTACACTCATCCTCAAGTGGATACTCAAGGAACTGCAGTTTTTAGCATTTCCATATTATCTTCATTTCTCATAACCAGAAGTTGCTTCCTGAGAAGATCCCCTCTCTAAATACACAATACACACACACTTGACTCAGAGGAAGTGGGACAAACAGATTTGTAGACCATTGAAATTTATAACACAATGAGAAGGAAATAAAGTGGACAGAAACTGTTGCAAGCCTTGAAATACCCAGTCATCATAGCTTGCTAGCTTACCACGTAGCTTCTGACGAATAAGGGTTGAGAGTAGTGTTTGGTATCAGTCTGGGAGCAAACCTTGCATTTTTTTTTGCCTCTCCATCATATTTATTTTTAATTCCAGTTGTCGTTGACAAACTTCATGTCATCGAATAACCTTATTTGCACAAGACATTTAATAATACCATATACATGTTATTTTCTGCTAATGCCAAGGCAGGAAAAAGACTTCCTGAAAACAGTTATAAATAAGTTTGAAGGTTACTTTTAACCAAAAAACTAGGCCAATGGTTTATTTTAAGCTAGCGTAAGATTAAGTTTAATTGGAAGTTAACTTTTAGTAAGTTTTAAAGTGCGGGTGTATGATGTAAAACCAGCAAAAGAGCAGATAGCCAGTGTTTGCTAAAGGTATAGAAATGTCCCCATTCAGACAAAATACTGGTAAAATTAAAAAAATATAATTGTAACCTTGGTGATGGTACATTCTTTAGTGTAATCAGAAAATTTTAATCTCTGTGTAAGCAACTTTTTCCACCCTTCTTTACTGGAATAGGGTGAAAGTGCAGTCAGTTTAAACAGTAAATGGCAAGACTTTACGCCATCATAACCTGGAACTACAAACTACATCCACACCCCCGATCACATCAGCAGATCCTCAGTTTGGCCTTTGAGCTGCCATGTGTGTTTGTCTTTGTTTATGTTTGCGTGGACAGCACACACACACACACATAGACTCACGCACACACACAGACACGCACACACACAGGTTTGCGTGTTTACTCAAAGATTTGTGCGTGTCCGTGTGTTTGACTTGTTGACTCATGTATTCAACTGAAACTCTATTCAAAGTGCATATTGCAGCACAAACAGGATATGCACCTGGTGGTGTCAACCCAAATTCTTCAGAGGCCTTTCAGAGTGTGCAGCACTTTCATATAGTAAGACAGGACCATCTGGCTCTCTTGCCTGAAACTGGAGTAGAAACAAGAAAAGCCAGAATATTGCCTCGGTTGATTTAGCTTAAATTCAAGGGTACAAGTTTGACCAAAACATACTGTATCTTTAAAATTGTTTCAGTCTACTTTGGAAGTGAGATAATAACCAAATTCTGAATAAGTTTTCCATAACTCTACCTCTCCTTTTACTAGATAAAGATTTATCTTTTTTTTTTGGCTTTTTATCATGATACTCTGTTTACTTTTACTCTAGGCAGGAACTGATAGGTGGTCTTCCTGCTTTTGGTGTGTGTTTATTCTAGTAATATGTTGATGCTGGGAACATTGAGTATTAGCTGTAGGTCTGTATGAGCTCAGCAGCCTGTCAGGTGAAGAGAGACAAACAGGAACGTCAGTTTACCTTGTTCACACTGTTCAATCATTTACTCGGAGCTTTGTGTCGCACTAGGTGTGTGAGAACCCTTTTAGAAACCATCTTTGAAGACACTGTCCGTACTTTGTTTTCATTTGCGAAGGTATCACCATGGTTACCGCAGCCAAATGATAACATTGTTAAGAATCTAAAGGGCTGTAGATAACTTGATAAGCTTCCCTGTAGGTATGCCAACATAGACCTGTTTTGCCTTCTTCCACTTGTGTGTGTGTGTGTGTGTGTGTGTTGGTTTGGAGGAAAGGGAGTGGACGTGACATTTGTGTGTCTGCATCTGATTATATCCTGTACAGCCTATTGGGGCGTATGTACAAGTGTGTGTTCTGGGTTGATATGTTCCCATGTGTGTATGATCCATAGTGCAGGTTAATCCCATCCATATGATAAGCAGGAATGGAAGTCTTGCTAATCCGCCTTAGTCATGAGCTCAGCAGTGAGGAGGAATGTCCCAGTCATTTCTTTTTCTAAGTTACACTGTGATAATCTGCTGCTGAGCACTCACTTGTCATTTTCAGGAAACACAAATCACTCCCAAGTCTCTGGCTAACTTCCTATGAAATCGTTCTCATCTTTGCGTAACCCTTAAGAAACACACAGTTTCATCAAAGTCTCTGTGTGTGTGTGTGTGAGTGTGAGAGAGAGAAATGGGGAGTCTTTTGTTGGCCAGGTGATAAAAGCCTTGCTTGTCATTAACTGACATAAAGAGTCACAGAGCACCAAGGGCAGAGTGACCTGACACCAAGGTGTGTGTATTTTTGTGTGAGTGTATGTGTGTTGGTGTGTGTTTATATGGAGGGGGTTTTTCTTTTTGTCTGCGGGGGGGATTTTAGTTCATTGTGTCACAAATCAAAGAAAATCAATTTGGGTTGTGTCTATGAAGGCTTGTTTGCGTGTGGTGATTGTGTGTATACAAAAAGAGGCGGTGGCAAGATAATCAGACTGAATGGATTGTGTACGTGTGTGACTCTAACGTGTCAGACAGCTCATGCCATGAATCAGTGGGGCGAGGTCTGGGTCGCTCTGTCTCTTGTTACTCAGAGTCTGCCTTCAGTTTTCTATCATTTTTTTTGCTTCTTGGCCAAATCCCGGTTTTGTCATATTGTTCCTCACTATAACTATGTTCCCCCTTGTCTTCCCTTTTCCCCCCTTTTCTGCCTCTCCTTTTAAAATCTATTTTTCATTTCTCAGTTGTCCCCAAAGAGCCAAAGAGGTGTGAAAGTTGTGGAGGTGTGTGTTTGTGCTACTGGTGTTTGCATTATTTGTGTAGTCTCACACCTTTTCTTTCTTTTCTCTTATTTTCTTTATCTGTGTCTCTAAGCTAAGCTTTATTTCAAAGTCATCCTCATTTAACCTTTACGTGAAACATTGTAAGAGAGTTTGAAATACCTGCGCCACAAGACAACATCCTGAGCTAGGTACTTTGTAGGGTTGGCACGATATGCTTTTCTCCCGATTGGATTCTTCTACGATTTTTTGGATGCCGATTCGATTTAAATTGCGATTCTATGATATTGCCAATTTCTCGATCATTAGTCTGTATTTTTAACACCAATGAAACAGTTAAATGATTATGATTGTCTACTGACTATTCCAGGAACCATATTTCCCCCAAAAATTCCCATGACATGTAACTCAGTTTCTAAGATTAAAGGTCCTTTCACACTGGGAGCGTTTTTTTGGTGCGATTATTTTGGACATCAAAATTTTTTCGAACCCGTATTCTGTCAACACAAGCTTTCAAATCAGCGACGTTTTCCCGTCATTCAATATTACAGCATTTATTTTTTTGTATCACGGTCAAATTTTCTAAAGTTTCACATACTGTGTGTCCACGTATGACCAATCAGATTTCGTGTTGTTGCGACGTCAGATTCACTGATATATCCAACATGGCCGACCGGCTGATTGTTTACGTGTCGGAGAACAGAGTGCTTTTTGATAAAAGACACAAACATTACAAAGATAACGACCTGAAGGACAACTTGTGGAGAGTCATAGCGTTGGATTTCTCATATGACGATAGTTTGTGTGCTTTAACAGTTTGCTAAACGTCTTTGTTTGTACTTTCATCTGTGCTAACGTATGCTAACGGTTGTTAGTAAAGTAAAGTAACTTTAGCTCGTAAGCTAACCTGTTCAGATACAACATACCATATGTATTTTCACTGTCTCAAACTCAATCGCGTTGCTGTCACAGCACCATTAGGTCTCGGTTGTTTCCTTAGGTTTATGGATTATAGTTTAATGTGCTTATCTGGTACTGGCCCCAACTCAGTACATGCTATCATAAAAAACAGCCATTTCAGCACTAGTGTCTAATCAGACCTGAGAAACAGTCTGGTGTTGTGTCAAGTCTTCTCGCTTCCACCCGGGATGCGTCTTTTTTTACCCCGGAAAGTTGCAAAATCGCATCGCGCTTGATGTGTATAGTCAGGCCTCGGAATTTGCCTCCGAATATTTCGCGTTGTATATTTGCATCGTTCCCGGTGTATAAGGACCTTTATTCTTAAATTTGAAAAAAAAAAAACTCACTTTTTGATCTTAAAAATTGATTTAAAAATTGTAAAACAAAAACTTTTGATACTCATATGAATCCACTTTTTCTCCCACCCCTAATACTTAGTGAGCGAGTGATCATACCTACAAAGATTTTCTGTGTTTTTGTGAGCAGATGATTTTCATGTCTTTCCGCCTCAAAATCGAACATCCATCATGAGGAAATAACACTTACCCATGACATCAAGGTGTGTGCATGTGTGTGAATGATGCATTTGTCAGCAGATGTGGTTGACTGACTGACTTATCAAGGCGTGACTGGTCGAAGATTGTGCGTGTGTACATCTGTCAAAAGAATCTGTGTATGGTTGTGTGTATTTGCGAAGGGGTGAGGGCCTAATGTTATTTTTTTCCTTGCCTGTGACGTTACCAGCAGCATGACTGATGCTGGTATGCAGGTCCTTGTTGGTGCAACCGTGAGAATATTTGAAGGCGTGTGTGCCAGAGGCGGTGTGTGAGGGATTAACAGCCATTTTGACAGTGCAGTGAGTTTACTAAACCTTTATTTATTCTTGGAAGGTTTTGCTGAACTTGCTTTCTCATTTTTCCAGCAACACCCTGGTTACACATTCAGCACTTAAGCACACCGTCACATCAGGGAGCTGCCTGATATAAGAACAGAGTAGGTTTGGTGTTTTGCTTAGAGGCTTTCTTTTTTAACTTTAAACATTTAGAGGTAGTTCGATTTTTCTTTTAAGATTCGACCAGCTGTAAAAACATCAACACACACTCCCTCAAACTTGCATTTTTTCCAATTTGTATTTTCAGTCGACTTTGTTTCAGGAGCAGCTTGACATTTCAAGCATAGCATAGTCTTGAAAGCAGTGCCCCGGCCAGAGCAGGCGTGCCTCGCGTCTCTCTCCAACTTTTCGATTGGCCTCTTCGCCAAAAGCACCGAATCTCAGTGCACTTAATTTAACGGGTGGAATTTTATTTTTAGAACAGCTCAGATCAGTCTGGGAGTGAGGGAGGGAGGGAGGGAGGGAGGGAAAAGGATTCAGTCAGTGAGTGACCTCTCTGGAGAGCCGTGTTTGTCTGAGTGTGACTGTGTACTGAGGTAATTAGCGGAGTCAGAAGGCTGCCCATAAACGCAACAAACTCACTTGACTTCCTCGTAATACGTGTGTATCATAACCCAGAAGTCAGAAGCTCCTGTGACCGTAACACGCTGTTGCAAGCAGAAACTGTTCTGTACCGAGAAGGCCTAAACAGAGAGTGAGACACGGTCATGCAGGTGCAGCGTGAATGTTTTCCTTTTTAAACAGAAAGTACAGAGAACAGAAATGAGTGGACGGACTGAAAGAAGAGTGAAACAGGAACTGAGCAAAGTGAGAAAACAACAGTAAGCAGATGAGATCTAGCTGACTCGCTGTGAATAAAAAGCCGTACTATTTTCAACAGTCATTAGTCTCTGCTTGCTACAGTCTACCTTCAATACTCCGCTTCAATTCAAAACCAGTGTTGACTTTGTTGACGTAAGCCAGAGAGCATAATAGCGTTGACATTAGCGTGACCCTGCAGTCTTTCTGGTAATCAGGTGATCTGAAAACTAGTGACGCACTCCAGAGTTACTGATATGTATATTCACGTTCTGCTTTGTGAATTTGTGTTTCACTTCCTCTTGTGAATACTTACACTATGACTTTGCAGAAGCACACGCTGAATGAAGTGCATATAATTAGTATTTGCCTAGTGTATATTTATGTTAGAAACTGACTCAGCGCTTCCTGTTATCACCCTCGTGATCGAAACGTGTGCGTGTGTTATCCTCATCTGCCTCTTGTCCCAGTAATTACGCTTACAGATTATAACCCTTGACACTTATATATTTAAAAAATAGTCCTAGTCCAGTTTGGTCCATTAACAGTCCATCAAGCTTTGTGCATGTTTGTGTTGCAGGTGTGGAGTTCATGTGTCTCTGTGTGTTTTTGATGTATGTGTTAGCCTGTACACGCATGACTGTGTGTGTGTGTGTGTGCGCCTGCCTTTCTGTCTGTCTGCTGTCTATGGCATAGCGTGCTAGTGTATGATGCCCACATTTATGTGAGTGGTATGTCTGACCCAGAAATGATTTGCCAGAGGCTCCGTGGAGTACTGATGCAGAGGGACTGATGCACACAGTCACACTGAGACAGACACACAAACTACTGATGGGGATTTGACGCACACTTGTCGAGACGGGGAGGGGTCGGAGAGGGTGTGTTGTACATGATTATGCACATTCATGTTTTTTGTTTCCCCTGAATTTAGCAGACGTTAACACCTTTTCTTTCCTCAACCTTTAACCAGAGTTCTTAGTCGAAACCAGTGGTTATAGTTTGAAAGCAGCTAAAGGACTAGTGCATCATTTTTGTATGTTTATTTCTATTTTTGCTAACATACAATAAATTTAAAGCTACCAACAGCCACATATTAGTTCAGTATAGTATTTACCAAGATTTCATCCAAAACTCACCTTTTAAAAATAACATTTTAACAAAAAGATATAAAAGATAAATTTACCTTCCCATGGCATTAGCTTTGTTAGCTTTGTATGTGCTCCATAGACATCAAAGTACTGTCAGTCTGTCAACCTAACAACATGAACAGAAAAGTTAATAAGCATTTGTCTAATTAAATTATGCTACAGTGAAAAATATGAAATACCTTTAAAGCCTCTCTGACATTGTTGTGGTTTTAGTCTTTAAAGTTTGAGTTTTTAACTTTTATAAATCTGACCCAAATCTTTTGTTTTGTTTTGTTTTTTAAATCAAAAAGGTCCTGCTTGTGTCTTTGCTTTGTATGTTTACATGTGGTGTATAAGTTGTGTAGTCAGTGCTATCATCCTGTGTGACTCACGCTGTGAATGAGCAATTAGAGGTTTGGTCGTCTTGCTCCAGGGCACTCGGGTTTAGCAAAGGTTTAATCAGTGGCAGCATAACCAGGCATGTGGCTGCTGATAGAAATCTAAACTGTGACCATTTAACAACAAGGTCACCATGCCTCAGCTACATGTTAGCAAACTATGTCAATATGAAATGTATTTTTCATGCGAGGGTTTATACTTAAAAATATGTATATCTTTTGTTTCAGGGGTCGAGTGTTTTCCCTAGACTTTGCAGCAATGCGAGTGTGTGACCTGGATTTTGATCGCGTCCGACGACTGTCCTCTCCCGCCAGCTCTTTGCCTCTTCCCACAGCAAACTCAAACCCAACTCCAAGCTGTCTCACAGTGTGGAAGTACTACTGCAGAGACAACTTTGGCTGGAGGGAATATTCTGAGGTGAGCCACTGATCACATGCGTGTTTCTGTATGTGTGTGTGTTTGTTTGTCCTATGACCATGAGGTAAGACACATTAACACCAATCGATTGTCTGGCCGCTGAGATGGGATTGAATTAGACATACATACGCACACACATATAGACTCCTAAACACCCCTTTGTGACACAGCTGTCCCCTGTCGATTGCTATTTATTCCACCAAATCAGTAAAGATTGATTGTTTTCTGTCTATGCATGTAAACAAGTTTGAGTGTCAGGATGATACTTATTTGCTTTTTTTATCTGAACACTTTATTATGCACCGCTGACATTTCCCTCTCTAAACTGTCAGCTCATCTTTTATCTGCTGGATGATTATGCAGGATGTTCACCAGTTATAAACAGCTGTTTCTAAAACTGTAATCTCCTTTTTTTTCTTTCTTCCCTTTTGTCCTTCTCTTGCTCCCCACAGCCAGTGGTAAAGCTCATAGAGGAGGCCAGTGCGAGGGGTCTTAAGGAGGTACGATTTATAACGCTCCAGAACCAGTATATCCTCAACATCAGGGAGGGCTTCCAGCAGAATGCTGTCTTCGGGTTCCGACGCCAGATCAAGAAGCGACCCATGTTCATGTCATCTGTCATGCTTACACCAGTTTTACAGTAAGTTAAGACATTTAAAACATTTTATAATGGTTATTATTCCTAAAATAATAAGGATGCACATGCAGAAGCTTGAAAAGGATGTTGTCACATTATATCAGGCCACAGTTAAAGCTTCAGGTATGGCAAATTTAGGTAGTTTTAGTGATTGATAGATTCATGTCTGACTTGGATGTTTATCAATACCTTTGCTGATGATCTGACTTGTCATTTTGAGAGCTTTTGTTTTTTCAGCTCTTACTAAATATATTAAAAATGCATTCTTGAGAGCCTCAGCTGCCATTGTGTTTTGCGCCAGTTAGCAAATGTTAGCATTAGGGTTGGGCATCGTTTGAATTTGAACGATTTCTGTTCCGATATCTTGTTTCAATTCCGATTCCTAATGATTTTCTATTCCGATTCTTTTAAAGGCAGAGTAAAAAAAAAGAAGTATGTTTTAGATGAAGGCGCTAACCTCTTTCTTGATGACATGTCTGATCTTCTCCATGAATTTTTAAATCATATGAACTTTTATTAACTTTACTATGAATTTCACACAGGGCTATTTTCAAACAGTAAATTAATATCAATTTTTGTTGTCAGGTCGTTTGTCAATGCAAAAATACATGTGCCAACGTCAGTGGGATATTTAAGTTGACCCACTGTGTATGGCACAATTTGTTTTCCAACTCAATGTTAGCAGAAGACAAACGAAATTTATTGTTTTACTGAACTGATTCTGACTTGTTAAGAAGAAGACTGGCGCAGCACGTCAAAGACAGGGCACTCAGTTATTTCTACTTCACGAATCCGGAGGTGTTTAATCATGTTGGTCATTCACCCTCCTTTGCATGATATAACTGTTTTGCAAATGTTGAACCGAGACGACAGTTCATTCTTCCTGAGAAAGTTTAGCCAAACTTTTGACCACTGTGGTTTGCAATGCAGACACACACACACACTCCCTGTAGCCTCTTCTTTGTTGGTGTTCGGTGGCTATTTCTCCAGGTTGACGGACTCTGAATCAAAACTTGGAATCAAAATTAAAAAATTTGAACAGTTCCCAGAGAATCAGAATGTTAGTACTGGTTCCCATAGATGCCCAAGACTCAATGCCCAACCCTAGTTAGCATGTTTATCAGGTTAATTATGATGCTGAAATTAGAAACATTTCACTTATACTTGCTTATATCATCATTTTACTTTTGTAAATGTGAACATGTTAGGATTGTGGGAAAAAAAATCATACTGTGGGTTGCAAACATGGAAGTTAGTTGAATGCAAATGCAAAAGCTACTGTCACTGTGTGCCCTGAAAACCCATGTCAAGAGTAACAAAAGGTCCAGTAATCATTAGGGAATGACTCGCATAACTGTAAGTCACTTTTTGTCTCAATATTCAAACCCCCCTCAGGTCACCATTGTACTGCCAGAGCCTCACAGATCGTTCCGCACCCAGATCTTACTCTTTCTGGGAACATTAGTATTCATTCATTTGTAGTTTACAAATGACGCCACATTGACTAATAGGACAAAGTCCTCGATTTAACACAAAGTGCCTCAAAACATATACAAAGTCACAAGCTCACACACACACTCACACAACGTGCTGGCTCCTTGGTATGTGGTACAGCCTCTCCCTGTGGCTCTCTGTGTTCTGAGAGCGTCCTGAGTCTCTGTTTGGAGACAGGCGAGCACACAGAGGTCAGTACACAATGCTAATGTCCCTGTCAGGGCTGAATACTGAAAAGCCCCTGAACATTACACTCACCTTTAATCCACTGCAGTGCTGTTGCACGCTGGCAGCCTGCGTCGAACTTGAAACCCACATTAACGCTTCAGAGTTTTGGCAATTCAAAGCAGTCAGCAGGACACAGAGCTTTTCTTGTAGCTGGCCTGACCCAGACAGATGGAAAATGAGATAATGAGGCAAATGAAAGCAGATGAGGCTGAAGACAAGAGATAACAAAGAGAGGAGGGAGTGAAGAGAGAAACACAGAAAAAAGTTTGACAAAGCAGTTCAAGTTTTTTCTTCCGTTTGTGCGTTTTACTTTCTTTCGCTGTCAAAGAGCGGATATTGGCGAATTTCAGTCATTTCCATCCTTCATCTGCCGTTTTCTTTCTAGCAGTGAAATGGAACTCGTCTCATCAAGTGATACCAGATTGTAAACAAGTGCAGTCATCTCACCCCATTTGTAGAAATGTTCACTTCCTGTGCTGAACAGGCTGCTGTCGCTGTGTCCCGCACAGAGCGAACCCGAGCACGAGCTGTTCCTACCAGGCTTGACAAGTCAAGAGAGGACAAAATGGAAAGAAAGGGAGAGGGAGGGAAGAGGGAAGAGGGGAGAAAATTAGATGGAGAAAGTAGGAGACATACAAGGAATGGGCAAGAAAAGAGACAAGAGAGATCGAGTGCACAGTTAGAAGGAAGTGAGTGAGTTGGTTTAAATGGTTTCCAGACTGGGTACACGGCCCCTGAGTAGAGCTGGTGAGCGAAGGAGTGTGAAATGTGACTGGAGGGAGCTGGAATTTGGAGCAATGGATTGATTTCTGGGAGTTCTTATCCTTTAGTAGTGTGTGGTGTTTTGGGGGTGAATTTATTTTTCTGTTTTTCTGAATAAACACGGACCAGAGCAGTGATATCCTAGGTGACCAAAACAAGTGTGTGTGTGTGTGAGGACCAATCCATGCTGAGCTTAAAAGTTGATGTTATTGGCTTGATTGGCACCCTCCCTTACTCCTCCTCGTCCCAGCCATGTCCTCTATCTCTCTTTCTCTCTCTCTCTTCCTTTCTCGTTCCTTGTTTTTATCCTTCCTAACTCTCTCTACCCAAACACTCTGTCAATCCTCTCGTTTTCTCTCCCTTTTCATTCCACGCTTGTGTCCTGTGGTTTCTTAGAAGCTCACAGAGAATAGACACATCAGTTGAAGGGAGATATTGAGACCGGAGAAACAAGATAAGAGAAAGAGAAGTGATGTTAAAACATGTCACACTGACTGGGAGTCAGACTGAACACTGTCTCTTGACGGCACACTCAGATCCTCCCATTGCTGATCGAGCTAACAGCATCTACACCGATAGAGTTAGAACTTGGCAGCCAAACAACTGTAATGGACTCAAATGCCAGACACAAAAGTTTTACCTGTCACTTTCACCTGACAGCTTTGCAGTTGTCGTTTTATTTTCCTCTATCTCTGGCTCTTGTTCCATCTCTCTCTTCCTGCTCTGCTTCAGTGTTGTCCTGTTTGGCGTCTGGGTTTCATTTCCACGCTGCGCTGCTTTTCTGTTTCGCCGCTGATGGCTGACTGCTGCTGTGGAGCGGTGATGTCATTGTTGATAGTTGGTGGGATATGATTTTGGCAGCTCGCACGAGTGGATTCATCACAGCAGACAGAAGGTCTGTTTTACGTGAGACTGCAGCTCTGACAGGAAAGACAAGGGAATGAAATTGTGAAGAGACGTAGCGTGTCTTAATGTCCGTGTAGATTCTCATTCATCCGGGTCATGGTTTTCTTGAAGACTCCAAAAACAGGCAACTGGACTCTGTAGAGTCCAGTGTCAGAATCCAGAGTCCTGTGTCAACTCTACACAGTCCAGTTGCCTGTTTGTGGAGTCTTCAAAACATACCATGCCTTGTGTGATCTGAGAATCATGTAAAGCTATGAAGGAGGTATCAGAAAGGAAGTATAGAGTCTGAGAAGAAATGCATAATGTCCCATATTTAAACATTCATTAAATAACAAGAGAGCCATGTGTTTGACGACAGAGTCTTTCTCAGCAGTGTGGTGAAGGTAGCTGTTATCATCATTCGCGGTGTCCCGATACGACTTTTTGACTTCCGATACATTGTAGCCTTCAATGTTTACAGATTCCGATATTGATCCAATATTTGCACAAAATTGTGCATGACAAGTTTTTCACTGAGCTTCAATGTGTTTTTCAGACTTAAACAAAAAATACTGCCACTCGGCCGACATCACTCTTACTCCTTGCTATTTTGTCAGTACCTCAGTACACACTGTTGTTGTGATTTTGTGGGCTCTGCTTGCTGGATCATGAGCTGCTTGATAGAGGTATCAGAGCGAAGTCTGGAATGGATTGCTTGTATCAGAGATTTTAGATGCAGGCCGATATAATCTGACATGTTTTTTTGCTGATATCAGACCAATATCAGATATCAATATCATATTTGGACACCCCCAGTTATCGTTAGCCTAAAGCATGCAGACCTAGCTTCACAACAGATTATTAATTGGACTAAAGACCTAAATGCCAAAGAAAACTGTGCAAAAATCTCTTTATGTGGTCCATTTAGGTGAAAGCAGTTCTTGACAGAGTTCTTGCAGTTCTCTTCTCCTGGAGACACAATAAGTCTGGAGAAATCTAGATCTCCCCAGAGAAAGCAGACAGGCTTATATTTTCGGCTCAGGAACTCAGGAAAAATATATCATGAAATTGATTTGAGGCCATATTGCCCAGCCCTACCTTGTTCACTTGTTCTGTCTGAGAGTGTATTCAAAGACAACTGCTAAAGAGAAAAAACATTTTTGAGTTCATTTTGGTAAACATAAAGACAAACTCTATCTTGATCTATTTCTTTCCAAACACACGTTCATGATTTTTTTCCTCTCTTTCCTCAGGACTTTAGGTGGCCTCTCTTCATCTCCCCTCACCCCACCTTCCTCATCTATGGATCTCTCCACGTCGCATCCTCTCTCACCGACAACCACCAACTCACCGAGCGTTTTCCCAGAAACTTGGTTGCCCATGACGATGAGCCAGGACTTCCTCCAGGTGCCAGTCTCACGGGAAGATCGCAGCTACAGGACGGTGTACAGCCTTTTCCACAAGACGGTTTCCGAGACCAAGTTCAGAATCATCAAGATCCAGCGTGTGCAAAATCCGTTCCTCTGGGAGAAGTACAAGAGGTGAGCCAAGGATGGCAAATATTTACTAGAGCCTCAAACTCATGGTTCATTTCCAGCAGTCACCACCTGTACCCATGACTCAAGGGTTTACAAAGACATTTCTGATGTCAGCTGGGTTGAGTTTCCCTTATTTTTAGGGGAAACATTATCTATGTTACATGTTGTAGCATATGACCTTAAATGTACTGGTGTTCTATAGAGCACAAGTCTGTTTGCATGAATTCAAGTCTCCACAGGAATGAAGTTTGAAAGTAACTCATGTTGTAGTCAGGAGATTTGGAGATCTAAGATAAGGTCAAGGCTTTAATAACCAAAATCAGTCTTCATGTGTCTCTTTTTAGGATATTATGAAGGCATGATAAGTGCTTAAGTTTGCTGAAACAGAAGTGCAGTGTGGTTGTCCCTCTTTTGATCTTATTCTGCAGTCTCACCAAACTGTGTGTAAACTTTTGTATCCAGATTTCAGTCGTTGAACTTCAGAATACTTTCCAAAGAGCTGCTGCTTTTTTTACTTGCAGACAGCAACCAGAAGAAAAAAAAGATATGTCTTAACAACAAACACAAGGCTTTTCAGAACAATGTGAGAGCAGGAAGAAAATATGAAAATAGGGCAAATGGGACCAGCTGTGCAGGAGTTCGTGAGAAGGGGTCCGCAGTGGTGTGTAAATGCAGCAGAGAGAGAGATGTTTGGTGATGATGATGCTCATTTTGAGAACGCAGCAGGGTAACCGCTATGGTTGAAGACGGGCAGGTCGTATCAGCTGTGACAGTTAAATTCTCTGACACGAACTGGTACCACAAGGTTTCACAATGACTGACATTGTGTGCTTGTGTGTGTCAGGCTCTGAAAGTGATGCTTCCTCTGAATGCAAGATGATTTCCTCTTCCCACACTCGGGTGATACTTTGTGTCTGTGTGTGTGTACCATAAATTGCCGGTTGTTGATTTGAAAGGATGTTGAGCTGCTACATCCTAAAATTGAGACCAAAATTGCAAAGCACTAAACTGCAGTGTGTGTGTGTGTATGTGTGCGCATGTGTGGATGCGTGCAGTGTCAGTCTGTGTCAGGTCACAGGCTGCGGGGTCACGGGAGGTCATGCCCGGGTCAGAGCGGCTCTTTTCGCCTCTGTATGCCTGATTGATCCGCTCACATCAAACAAGCTGTGTGTGAGTGAGTGCACGTGTGTGTGCGCGTGTGCGTGCATGTGTCTGTTGCTCAAGAAAACGGATTAGGCCAAATGGTCTTACCAGGCTTTAGAGCAAACAAGGACATGATCACAACTTTTGAATCGAAACAGCAGGACTGCTTCCAGCTTTTGACTTATTCAGTACCTAAGAGATGAGCTGTCTTTGTACATTAGCACGTTCACTTCAAGAAATGAAGCATTATTTGATGTAATTGAATTTTACTCTCTGTCATATTTTGTCTTAATTTCAAACAAACTCAGGCGAAGTTCATCAACAAAATGTCTATTTCTGTCTCTGTCTGCTCTCACAGGAAGAAGGAGTACATGTCGCGGCGTATGTCAGAGATGGATCGACTTCTGAGCGAGCGCCACCTCTTCCACGGCACCTCGGCTGACGTTGTAGAGGGCATCTGCAAGCACAACTTCGACCCCCGGGTCTGCGGCAAGCACGCCACCATGTTCGGCCAGGGCTCCTACTTTGCTCGCAAGGCTGTCTACTCCCACAATTTCTCCAAGCGCTCACCTAAAGGAGTTCACTGCATGTTCCTCGCCAAAGTCCTCACTGGCAGGTGTGTGTAAAAATATTGTAGACTTTTGTGATTAAAGTCTTATTTCTCCTTCTACTTTCCACTTTACGGTAAAGGGTGGGGATTAAAATTAAATGCTAAATGTGCAGCATTTTAAATAACAAAAAAATGCAATAATTCAGATCATAGAATACTTATCATTTAGAATATGGATTGAGCATTTTCTCATGCTTTAAAATGACCAGTCTTGCCTGCTGATAGCACTGTAATACAACAGAGATGCCTATCTTTACTCCCTGCTGTCTTACATATTTCTACCTCCTTTAAGTGGAAGTAAATGCATCAAAATTTGGTCAATCTTACTGCTGTAAGAATCATTTTCCAAAAACATCATTTTCATTATCATCATGGATTGAGCTGCTTAATACTTCTCTGTTTCAGTCAAATTTCGTAGCTAAGACTCCACGCTTGTAATTCTGCTGGGAATTATTTACTTTTGGATTTTGTTATGAGGTTTTAATAGGATCACATGTTAAGTGTCTCCAGAAGAGAAGTTGCATTCAAACCTTGTTGCCTACTCACTGTTGTAGTGCTTTCAAATTACATTACAGGTCTTAATTTTGGATCAAGAGGATCCCGTAGTTCTTTCTCATAAACCATCATTTGCGCCATTCTCCCTGTGTTCCTTAAATTAAAGTCAAATCTAGAGGCACACATGTAAAAATAACTGATTTGGCTGAACCTATCATACATTTCAAACTTTGTAGCAGCAGAAGATGTGAAAACTCACCAAACCTGGTTGAATGTTTTCACAAGACAGAGACATTGCTTCTAGACGAAGAAAGAAGTTATCTTTACCGTACATCCAATCATATCTGGCACACAGACACTGAAACATCTCTGCTCCAAATGTCCTGATTTTAAGATGCTCACACATCCCAAAAGAAGAAGCAACAGCCCTCTGGCCTTGACATGAATATTTAAGAGAGGACAAAGAAACTGATGACTTTGCCTCTACTTTACTTACTGTACATGGATATCATTTGAGGTGATCAAACATACGAAGGAGCTGAAAGCTTTTTTCATTAAATTCAGATGAGACTCTCTCTTTAAATTGTAAATGATATTTTTGTAAGCTGCATCTGTGATCTGAGAGTATTTTCCTACATGTAAATTAGAATGAAAAACTAAAATTAATCCAGTTTTGCTCTAAAAGGACTTGATGTTTTTACAACATAACTAACAAATACACTGTACCTTTTGCTGTGTTCACACAGGTTCACTGTTGGGAATCCCTCCATGCGGCGACCTCCACCTATCAATCCTCGTGACGCCTCCAGTGACCTTTATGACTCCTGTGTTGACAACTGGGTGGACCCTCAGATCTATGTCATCTTCAATGATGACCAGAGCTATCCTTACTTTATCATCCACTACGAGGAGGTACCCAGTACTGTTGCTGTCTAAGACCCAGATCAGACCTGGCTTTGTCTGCATTTGCCAATACTTAGCGACAGTTTGTTTTAGTCTGTTACAGAGCTGGATGGGTGGAGTTAGTTTCTGAAGATGAAAGGAAAACGATTAGACCAACGACGAGCTGAAATTTAGAATCCTTTTTTTTTTTTAAAGGCTTAACCTCACCCATCTGCTGCTCTTAACAGGTTAAAACAATCTAAGACATGCTTGCAAATACACAGGGATTTAGGTCTGCAGTAAACTGGATCCAACCAGACTGATCTGCAATCAGGAACAACAGACTGGTCTAGACCGTGTTGAACTGGATAAAACTGGACTTGCAAAAAACAACTGTTTTCATCCTACATTCAGAGCTGGATGACAGTTGACAACAGCTGCACCCACAGCAGACTTTACTTGACCACTCTCTGTTTTTTTAAGAATAAACAGGAGACTCATGATGATCACCAGACAAGAGAGGATCTAAGTTACCGATCTGGAGCAGGTGTAGGAAAACCAAACATAGTCCTCTTTTCATTTTGACGTAGTCGTATGGCTGTAAGTGAACTGGCAGATGGACGATTGCTGTTGTAGACAGTGAGTGTCCTATCAGTACTGTGAATGACCGAGTGGTTGTATTATTATAGGAAGCACCCAGCCAATCAAACGCTTCCATAGAGAAACCAAGATGACTCTGATCTGAGTCGCTCTTACAAAAATCAGAGTGTTTACCCGGCCTCTAGCCCATGTTTTTTTTCCCCTTTCAAATGTTTGTGCAGTGTGTTTGAACCCTTTGATTTAGCGGACATAATTCTTGTGGCCTCTTCAAACAGTCATGGACACGAGTTTCAGCGGGCCTTTTAAAAACTGACATCCACGTACTGTAAACCTCCAGGCAGAGGTTTCACATGAAGCCAGAGCTGTTCCCGGTTGGTGATTTTGCCTTTGAGCCCACTGCTTTAGTTCCTCATGGGGGGGATCGAGGAGAGTACAGTGTCATGCTTAGACTGTGCTGCTGCGGCACCGTCTGCGCTGTAGCGTTTCGCCAACAACCCCACTGAAACTTATCTCTCTTGGACGGCTTTCTTGCTCAGAGACTGTAGTTCTGTTTTATTGAGACAAACTGTACAGACGTTTTCTTTGTTTATATTTGAACTGTGTGCCTTTTGTTCATAAAAGTTTTATTTATGTTAGTTTAATGTAACATTGATTGAATAAAAACTCTAAAAGAAAATTGACAGTTCAAGTTGTATTTCTCAAACCACAGTGTTAACATTGTTACTGACTCTCTGTAAACCATGAAACCATTACATACACTCCAAAGACTTTGCTCAAATCAATTAAAAGCTTAAACTTCATCCATTGGAAAGGCATTTGAAGTATGTATAAAGCATCCTTTATAATCACATCTATATACTGAAACAGAGAATGTTCTGGTTGTCAATATAACTTAAGAGGATATTTTTATTTCATTTCTTGTGAAGGATTGGATGATAAGGTTGATACAAGTCTTATGATGACAGTCAACAAAGGCAAGAGATCATTACAGGGCTGCCAAGTTTCAGAAAATGACAAGAGCGAGACTTAAGCGTGAGTTTGGCCTTTTTTTAATGTGGATTTGTGCCTTAAAATAGCAATTATTTGTCCTACGTTGACATCAAACTAGTAAAAATATTTAAAAAGTGAACCCATTTGCAATAATTTTGTAAAAGATAGATAGATTTGTAAAAGATAGAGAAGCAAAGACCCACTTTATGTTCCTTCTGATTGGTTTATATTGTGTGGTGCCTTCTGTGGTTGGTTAGATTTAGGCACAAATGACCGATGGATTGGTCTGGGATTGGTTATCTGGGTCAGTCAATCAGAGTTACTTGAAGTACGGCAAGCCGTGTTTCTTATCATGAAAAAAATAAGAGTATTGAATGAGGAAATATAGGCATGAGAAATGTCAAGTGTGGCGTGTGGTGTGATAATGAGTCAAATTGCGTGACTGTCACACTCAAAGCGTTACCTTTGGCAGCTCTGTGGTTTGCTTTGCTTTGAATAAAGCAGGAAATTTAATAAACTGCTAGTTCGCTAGCTCAGACATCTACATTTCCCATTAAGCTTTGTGTGGATTCACTGAACCAGACATTACTTGAAAATCTCAAATGAGGTGCTCAAATGTGATTTTTTTTTTTTTTTACATTTACTACATTTTAACCTCACAGACATTGCTAAGATATTAGTTTAATCCAGGGCTGAAAGTAGGATAAGGTACTGTACCCGTAGGCTTTGTACAAGAGTAGCACACCCAAGTTTAATGAGGTGCCAACTCTGATGCCATAGTATCATCATCTGCTGCATCTCTCTCTCTCTCTCTCTCTTGAACATAAAATCAAATTTTCTCAGCATTGGCTGTGTCTGAAATGAATCACTCAATCCCGAACCCCTAACTATATAGTTGACTATGTAGTGAACTCATTTACTGGAGGTTTCGAACACTACATGGCATGGCGCAATACATGACAGGATGGTCACTACATTTTTCAATGCTTTATGGGAAATTTTGAGTCACCTATATAGGGCACTGAAATTGGTCACTGAGATTTCGGACACCCCTCAAAATGGCGCTAACCCCCATATAGTCACCTACATAGGGGTTAGGGATCCATTTCGGACACAGCCATTTTGTTTGATTTCTGCATTAAGATTGAAGCAGCTGTCTCTTTACAACTTCCCTCCTTCCGCAAAAGGCGGGAGGAAGTCGCCTTGGTAACCAGCGTCCAATCAAAAGTGCGCACTGAGCCCTCCGGAGGTTGTTTGCGGAAGTAAATACGACTCACTCACAAGCAGCATGGTGCTATTGGATTATTACGGTTACAATGCAGAGTGCAGACTGACGTGCGGCAACACGGTAAGCAAATGTAGCCTAAGTACATTGCAGGGGTGAAAGTTTGTGTACCGCTGTGTACCGGCTGTAAACTGCTGTTTGTGTAGTCCCAGTACGGTGTACCGCTGTGTACCGGCTTATCCTCAGCAGGGAAATTGTGTGTTTGTACTAACGTCAAATCACTGCTTTAAGGAACTTTTGACTCATAAAGCAGAAAGAAAGGCGTTAGTAAAACTGTAAGCCAATGAGGACCTACTGTATGTGGTCATTCATAGTGAGCAGTTTCAGGAAGACTCTGTTGGTATGACTATTTGCTCTTCTCCTGGTCCAGTAGTATTAAAATAAAAAAAGAGTTCTCTCAGTCAGGCCTCCCTCTGCCTGCCATCCCCCTTCCTCCCATACCTAGCATTGAATTATCTGAGCAGCATGTCTAATGGGGTCCAGAGGGAGGCTGGCTGAGTAGGCTCTCTATCCCAGCCCAGGGACAGCACATCTGGGGCACAGCAGCAGAACTCGAGCCAGCCCTCCTCCCACTTCTCCTAGTTCACTTCTCATGTCTCAAAGAAAAATTCTCTATATTCTTCTATCTTTCACCCCATCTTGTCTTTTGAATCTTTTTATCTGCCCTTTCTATCGCTCATCCTGCTTGAAGGAAAGAAAAGTGATGATTCTTGAAGACCATGTGCTCCCCGGATTCATTGTACTCTTTCTTGGTCAATGAAATGATTTAGCATCCAGAGAAATACTCTCAATCTCCTAAACAGGACAACACAAGTCTGTTCTCTAACAGCTTGGCACAATAACTGGAGAAAAACAAGTCTTGACAACACAAACTCCCTAAAAGCACCTGTGATAGTAACACCTTAAGGTTTAATTTGTGAGAAAATGTAAATAGAGATTTGCAGGATTCTTGTCTGATCTGTTTGGGCCTCCTGGATATACTAGATATAGTCTTAGGTCATAAACTGAACTTTGGTTAGAATTTTCTTTCTCTTAATTTTCCTCCTGGCTGTTGAGGCATGGTATGGAGTCCTCAACCAACAGTATGGGCTGTTATATATAGACAATAGTATATAAACATATATATTTATGTGTCTGTCTGTGTGTGTGTGTGTGTGTACATATCATTATGTCTGAATCATAATTTATCATCGTGTCTCTCTCTTATCTCCTTCACTCCTGTTTTCTTTCTCTCCCTGCAAGCGTGTTTTTGCCTCCCTCAGCCTCTCTCTCTGCTTGGCCTCCGGTCATGTCGTGTAAGACTGTCGTGCTGAGCTTCGCTTTTTGGCAGAGGAGAGGGGAATTGGAGAGAGAGAGAGTCGGGAAAGGAGGGGGAGATAGAGAGGGATAGAGAGAGGGAGGAGGAGTTATTTTGCTCTCTTCGTGCCTCCTCTCTGAGCTGCGTGCCTGTCTGCTCTTCTCGTGTGCATGCAAGATCGCGCAGGTTGCCCTCTGTTTGCCCCCATCTCTCTCTCTCTCGCTCTCTCTCTCTCTCTCCCCATCCTCTAGTCTCTATCTCCTAGCTTCCCTCTCTTAATCTCTCCTATAGCCTTTCGTTCTCGTTCCTCTTTTTTTTCAATCTCCTTTCCCAACCTGCCCCCCTCTCATCAGCTCTTAACAGCTTAAAACCCTTTCGGCCTCTCATCTTAATGATTCTACCTCCTTCCTTCGCTCTTGGTCTCTGTCTCCCTGTGAGTCATGCAGCGGGCACTGACTAGGTTTGTTTGCCTGACTGCCCTCCAGGAATTGCTGCTGGCACACAGAGAGAGTAGCATTTCTGTAGACCTGCTGGCTGGCTTTAAGAAAAAGAGTCAGGGGTGGGGAGCCGGAGAAGGTGCAGAGAGAGGATGGAGGTGAAAAGAGATAAAAGAGTCGAGGGAAACAGGGACAGGGGAGAGGTTGCAGAATAAAAAGGAGTGTGTGTGAAGGACGAAGGCATCAAAAGAGAAAGCTATAGCCTTCGTAAACAGCAACAAAAGATGTCTCTGAATTATTGAAAGCAGTCAGGATTGGAGAAGATGACTCCCTGGGTTTTTACAGTTGGTGTTGATGCTTCAACTCTGAATAATAACCAGGCCTATTAAAACAGATGCAAGTGATATAAAGAACATTTATTATTCATTTCTGTTTTAATGTGTACTAGATTCTTGTGCTGTTTAACATAAAAACACACACACATCCAGTGGAATTAAGCCTGTTCAATATTCTGTTCTACATCATTGATTGAGTCAAACTGAGGGTGTCAAATGAGAAAAATCACAATAAATCATAACACGTAATGACTGCGATAACTGCCTTGGCTGATTTTTTATTTGATGTTTTGGTAGACTTTTTTTTTTAATTGATAGATGATGCTGTTACCAGGGCTAAATTGCAGAAAGTTACCTCAGTGAGTCTGCTGCACAAGACAAAACCATGCAGTCACATGAAGCAGCAGTATGTAAATTTAGCAGAAGCCTTCATTGCACAGCCAATCAAGTAAAAACTTGGTAACACTTTACTTGACGCCGATCTCTATAGTGCATTATAAATTTATCTATAATCACGTTATAGCACTGTATAACTATCATTATAAATAGTCATAAATGATCATAATGCTTTATAGCAATAATCATAACACATTATAAAGCATTTTATCATGACTTACAAGGTCAGGTATTATAATGTGTTATGCTTATTGTTATAAAGCCTTATGATAATGAGTGTTTACAATGATAGTTTATAAGCAAATTATAACACATCATAAATATATGTATAATGCATTATCTATGTGGGCATTGTCAGTGAGTTGTTAACAGTTATAACATATTATAATACCTGACCTTGTAAAGGTCCTTACACACGAGGTTGATGCAAATATAGAACGCGAAATTACGAAATATTCAGAGGCGAATTTTGACGCGCCTGACGATACACAGAAGTGGACACACAGTATGCAAAACTTAAAAAAATCAACCGTGATCCGAAAAAATAAATGCCGCAATATCGCAGGACGGGTGAAACGTTGCTGATGTGAACGCTTGTATTGACAGGATACGGGTTCGAAAAAAAATATTGACATCTGAAATAATCGCACGACAAAAACGGTCCCGGTGTGAAAGGACCTTAAGTCATGATAAAATGCGTTATAATGTGTTATAAATGATCATAATGCTTTATAGCAATAATCATGAGTGTTTATAACTACAGTTATACAGTGCTATAACGTGATTATAACACATTATACTTATATTTATAATGCGTTATAGAGATAGGCATCAAATAAAGTGTTACCAAAAAAGTTTGTTCATAAACGACAACAAAAAGTTAATGATTTTGTATGAAGTAAATAATCAAGGACCCAAATTTAGATGAAAGTAAGTCCCTTAAATACTCCTCTCTTCCTTACTGACCTGTTCTGCGGGTTTACATCTACTCTAATATAAAAAAGCTTAAGACAGAAGCGGAGGGATAGTCTAATATATCTCACGCTTACACACATGCCAGCATGCAAACAGACAATCACGAAGGAGCTTACACATATGGGTTCATTTTTTTACAGACTCACTTATACTGACACATGTATCTGGAAATGACCCAGCTTTTCTTTGTGTTAACTCAATATCTCACCCCCCTACATGCATACAAGCACGTAGAGGGACACACATGCCGGCATGCACAAGAAAAAAAATGACCCCCCCATCTCCCTCTCTCGCTCTCTTTCTTTCTCACACACGCACGCACACACACAAACTTCCTGAATTAAGCCCAGGTCCACATTGCTCCAACGATGCCCAGCTGTATCCAATGAACATTCCAGTTACTGTTTTTTTTCTTCCTTGCTCTCCCTCTCTATCATTTCAAATTTCAGCTCTAAGCCTTTAAGAGAGCCAGCAGCCAAATATGGTCAGGCTTGTGTCATGAACTTTGAGCGACCTTCTAAAGCAGCATCGAGATCGTGACCTTTAAGACCCTGCCTGAGGCTGAGCTTTAGGCACCATTTTGCATGACTATGGAGAAAAGTCAGACGTGCATGTGCATGTATGCACACTGTGGATGGTAAGTCCCAGACAGAGTTCATGACCCTTGACTTAGTGGATATCTCTAACCTTTTAGTGGCTCACGATACAACCCCCAAGTCTATGGTTTATGGCTTTTTAATTACTCCCAGCTCGTATTTGTGTTTTGTTTTTTTCAGCCATTTTACTTCTTTTTAAATACTGTAAAATTTAAAAAAAGGTGGCAATTTACAGTAGACCATGAAGAGGCATGGAAGAACCACAGGTCTAAATAAATCCACTTGAGAAAGAAAAAATAATAACATTCAGTCTCCTCAGCCTGTCACATCCATTGTCACTGTGTGTGATCAGAGCAGTTACAAAATAAAAGCCTTTTATCTCTGATTGGGTCTATCTTAAGCTCTGTTTCACTTCCTTTTTTTTTATTATAGCACCCGTCTCTGTGGCTGTGCTCCACCAGTCAGGCTGTCATCTTCTGTTTATCTAATTGGGTTTCAGAGGACTTGAGTCTTACAAGGAGGAGGACAGAAGAGAGAGAGATGAAGAGGAGGAGGGATACAAAGAGAGAGATAAAGAACAGGTCTATTAGGACCCCAGAGAGGTGGGACAATCCAAACCAGATAATACTAATCTGTTTAGAGGGTTGGTTGTAAAGACGTACAGCTCTTGCAATAAGTCAAGACTTCACGGCCCTGGTAGGTATACAGTTTGCAGTTTACAAATAATGCAAGAGTAGGGGGAAGGGGCAACAGAAGGTTAATCTGAATTCCTCAGTTTATACATCATGGGGTAAACCAAGAAGAAGGCCATCAAAGAGGGGGTATAGATCAAGGTCAAGGCAAGAAGGAAGTGGAGAGCAGTTTAATTACTTGAAGCAGAGGGATCTTATGGCGAGTTTGGCCAGAGGCTAAGCTAGTCTTGGTTACTTCCTCAGAACCAGGATCTGTAGAGTCAAGGGTTAAGAGAGGCCCCCTTATGGCCAGTAAGAAATCCAAGTAGGGTCTGGAGCAGCGGAAATGGACAAAGTGCAATCGGCAGAGCAGTGGGTTACCTGATGAGTCATCTTACATAGAGTAGATGTGATTTTTCTCTTCTGTGTTGCTATTGTAAGTGTAATCTGATTCTGGTGTAACTCTGTGATGGCCTGGTAGAAAAACACAATAACTCATTTGGAGATATGGCATAAAAAGCATACCCAATGATTGCATCATGCTGTTCAGTGAGAAACTACCAAAAGGATTATCAAACAAGCAATAGCAATGTGTTAGTTTGTGAAAAAAAAAACATGTATAGTGGTAGATTTTGAATTTTGATTCAGTATAGAGAAATTTACAGTTTCATAATTAAAGATGTAAGTATTTAAAAGCAATATTCTGTGTTTGTGACTAGGTTTAGATATGGTTGGACTGCATCTCAACTCTGCCCCGACATGAAAACTCTGTGTAGATATTTGAAGAACCCTCAAATAATAAACTACTATATGGCGTGTCACTGAAGGTTAAGAGGAAATTTCAATATGTGATAAAACAGACCGTTACCACTCCCTGCTTTCCTTATCTCTCTCGCAAACTACTCTTATCCGAATGCGTGAGAGTCAGGTAGCTCCTGCTCACAGCAGTTGAACCATGTATAATGTGGCCTTTCAAGGAAGAAAGACTAGAAAGATGGCTTCTAATGAAGGAATTATTTAAAGCAATTGGCAAACTCATAAGGGCTGCATAAAAACTCCAGGTTTATCTATTTATCTATGAAAGTTCATGTGCATCTGTCTTCCTTGTCTGGCTGAAGTTCAAAAGGTTAATTGTGCCGTATAGCGTGTGCGTGCATGCAAGCGCATGTATGCCAGCATGCATGCAAACCAAGCTTGTCTGTGCTGAGTTCAAAAGGTTAACCGTGCCACAGCGCTGTGGATCCTGCCTTAATAATTGAGGCTTAACAAGCACATGTTAAAACATCATGATCCTCACTCTCAGCCATCATGGCTCAGACATGAGAGCAGCAAAAACAGCTTGTTTGTCTGAACTCAATTATTTACCAGCTTACATGCCCAAACCATGGTTGTTTTCTCACTCACATAAAGAGTTTTATTTTAGCGATCACAAATATTAAACTGGTAATCACTGGTGAGTTTCTTTTATAAATCAGCCTAACAATAATTTTGTTCATTAGTCATTTATAAATGCTGTGAGGGGAAACACTGGCACACTCACTGATTAGACAACAAAAGCAACATCAATCTTTTTACATCTTTGTCACATGGATGGTGTGATATTCGTCTATATTAGCATCTGTTTCATAGCTTGAGCTTTAGGATCAATCTAACTCTTATTCACTGAGTGATTGTCATTTAATTCTGGGACAGTAAGCAGCAGATCAGTCTTAGATTTAAAAGGATTTAAATATTAATGTTAGAAAAGACATTTTAAATCTCTGTCAAGTTTTCTTTTAGGGCAGGACCATGTAAGCCGTCAGCTTAAATATGTAAGATTAAAAAATGAGCAGGAATTTA